TCACATGTAGACAAACATTCATGAATCGTTGAGTGCACACTGATCACTTCATGTCAGATGTTGGAGGATCTCCAGCTTGTGTAACACTGACCGTCTCCATGGGAAACGGTCACAGGAAAAAGGCACAGTTCATCCAGACCAATGTTTCAAGTCACTGATTGGCTCCTCCGGTTTGCAGCCGTCTGTAAGGTAGACGTGTTCTCTACTCGTCTGCATGACAGAGTAACTGCAATGTTTCAAATTATTTCATACTTTAAAAATAAATACATAAATCCTTTATAATGTCCATCCACATTTATACCCCCCCCCACCAAAGCAGTGGAATGAATATTAATTTAATGTGAGAGCTTGAGTTACAGCACACAGCTGCCTGTGGAGGCGGCAGTGTGCTCGTTTGCTTGCTGCATCCGCTCACAGCTACTGCAGACAGCCTTGGAAGAACAGGGTGTCACCCGGGCATTTATGTCTTATGTATCGATTTGCTCACGATTCATTTTGGTTGGTGCAACACAATTTGGTGGCCACATTTAGACAAAGCTTTCTGCTGTTGGAGGAAAGCAGCAGGAATGTGTTTCAAAGCCTGGGCTGGTGGGACTCTGTAGTCTGTGTGATGATTTCATTCAGTGGGTAAAAAGGCAGCCATCAGGTCAGCCAGCTCCTCTGTACTCAAACATCTTTGTCAATTATCTGTATGAAGGCACACGCACACGCACGCACGCACGCACGCCTGGTATAATCAGTCACACTGATACTGACACAAAATAAATGCTCATCTCAAAAAACCATCCAAGTGCTGATGGATGATAGTGAAATATGCAAATATGAAATAAGTTTTCAACACATGTTTAGTTTAAATGTGAAGCAGACTGACAATGAAACATCTGATCTGCTGGATTCAGATGTTTAGCTCCAGTCTCTGCTGAACGACTCTCTGCTCAATCACACATACAAGCTCCACTCAGGGTGAACTAATCGCTCAGCTGCTCGGACTGAACACTTAGTTTCTCCATCTCTCAGTCTGCTCGTCAGCACACACACACGCGCGCGCGCGCGCGCGCGCGCGCACACACACACACACACACACACACACACACACACACACACACACACACACACACACACACACACACACACACACACACACTTTGCTATCCTCGTGGGGACATCCCATTGACATAATGCTTTTCCTAGCTGTATAGCCTAACCCTTTACACTGGTATCATAGACGCTTTAAATTACAAGACTACTTTGCAGACGATGACTTTCGTAGCGAGCCCGTTGTCTTACCATCGGTTTGGGAGCTGGAGTGGGGAGCCATGATATACCCCTAATTAAAGATTGTGAAATTATGTAGTTTTAGTTCGTATTATTCTCCTGAATTAGAAGAAGGTGGTAACTATTACAGTTATTAGACTGATTTGTATTACATTAGACTGCTGCTTCAGTGTGAATGAATGATATCGTTTATACTGCTGAGTCATAAGAAATCCTGGTTTCAGAGTCAGGACCTGCTGTTCTGATAGCAGAGGAGACAGAGCACATTCCACGGGAGCTTCACCCCCACCGTTGTTGAAGGCAGACAAAATAGGGAGCAGCCAAGGCCATAAGTCAGGCTCGCTAGGAGTTAGAGAGAATGTGAATGTTTGGGTTTTTACGACTAGGTGGGGGCCAACAGAGGCTAGAAGAGTTTGAGTCACCCTCCACCAGTTTGAGATTTGCTGTGACCCTCTGCATGCATGTCTCCCCATCCGGATGGTTTATGCTCAAAAGTGTTGAATTGTATGGAATAAAGCACTGTTGAAGGAGCATTTATACACCGAGTAGTGTCCTTCCTTCAGCCCAAAGATCGAAAGAATTGGGAGGATTTAACAACAGGAAGACTGTCCATTCATTACACAAGAAATACATCGATGCGAAACAGCACGATTATCTGCTAAAGGACACGAACTATTTTCTGCAAATGATTCGCTCCATAGCAGATAACACGTATATACAATAGATATCGAAAGCTTGTTCACTAACGTAAACACACGGATGCGTTTGAGAGGCGTGACGAACATCTTTCGGCGTTACCCAAACGCTGTGCGTCCTGAAATCCTCCAACTTCTGGAGATCTGCCTTACTGATAACAACTCTCACGTTGACGATACGTATCATTTACAGACTGAACAGCCCTGGACCAAAGACATGCACCATCTGATGCTAACACCGATATGAGTGAGTGGGAGGCGCTGACCAAATGCCCGCTACAACCGCCCTTTTATTTTCGGTTTTTAGATGACATCATAGGCGCATGGCGAGGACATGTTTAAACAAGTTGTAGACAACACACGCCATCAGTCTATAAAGCTCAAACAGGAACACGGCGAGTCGGAAATAAACTTCCTAGACACTACGGTCTTTTTTGAAAATGAAAAGGATTGTAAGAGGTTGTGGACTAGGGCACATTTTAAACCACGGATACACATGCGCTCCTACACAAATTAAGCCATCATCCGCCACACACATTTCAGGGAATAGTAAAATCTCAGATATTGAGGTTCTATAGAATATATAGCAGGGAGGCAGCTGCCATATTGTTCAGAAAACAAAGAAAAAACTATTCAGTGTAACAAGTGTGGGTTGATGTATGTGGGGCAGACTGGGGCCCACTTGAGAGCGCCTCTGCAACAGCACCTGTATGCCGTCCGGATGGACCGCGTATTTTACTGGGCCCTCATTCTAAGGAGCACAGAGGGGGCATCGGTAATCATGGGAGTGGAGGCGAATCCTGGTTGGTTGGTCAGGCGGTCAGTTGAAAAGGATGGAGAGGGGGTGGATAGATTGAATGCTCCGTTAGGCCTTAATGTGAGATGCGGACTGGACATCCTTTTCTCCTTGGTTTAGAGGACATCATATATGGGTCGAGTGTGGTTCTTTGTAGTTGTCTCTTGTTTGGTTGCCTAAGGTATTGTAAAGTCTGAAAATAAACACTAAGAGAGCCCTAAACAGACATGTTGAATGTCATCCCAAATAAATAAATAAATAAAAGGTTAAAGGTTAGCATAAGTGAAAGAAAGTAAACAGGCTTTCGCCACGGAAACTGCAAGGCAGCATGGGATTGGCAAATACGGTTATGAATACTAATCGTATGTTGCAATTTCTGGTAATTTACTAGTTGCACAGTCTTAAAATTGTACACTGATATGAAAAAGTCAAATTGACACTATAGAAATGATCCCCTGGAGGCTGAATCCCCTCCAGAGTGGTGTTGGGAGACCTGACTTTCAAGGAGAAAATAGAAAAATAAAGGTAGAATATAAGCGGGTGAGAGTCGACTGTTTGTTGTAGCATACTTTGATTAGAGACCACAGCAGGTCTTATATGAAGAAAAATGGGGGCGATGGAAAATATCAGCAATATATAAGAATGGCATTCATAAGAAACAACGACGAAGAAGAGGAGCATGTTAACAGGAGGAGGAAGAACCGGTGGGAATCAGGATGCTGCAGCCGATCCCAGGACGGTGCGCCTAAGTTTTAAGGAAGAACTGAGTCGTAACTCCTAAATTGAGTGTGAAACATGCCCTCAAACGTGTGGGGACCCCACAAGTATAGTAAACCTCCAATTTATCTCACACACACACACACACACACACACACACACACACACACACACACACACACACACACACACACACACACACACACACACACACACACACACACACACACACACACACACACACACACAAATTTGATTTGTTAGAAATTTGTGCCAACCAATCAAGCTCAGACACACAAACACATTTAATACTTGCTCTGCAGCACAGAGGGAGGAGGGCTAATAACGTACCATTGCTACTGATTGTTCAGCAGTTTATATCAAGTCTAAGGAGCAGCCTGTGTGCGTATTGTACATTTATAGGAACAAACATCAGCTGTGTGTCTGCTTGTCAGAGCTCTTCAGTAATAAGTCATTGTGCGAGGCGAGTGCAGGCAGTCTGACATCTACCTTCTACTTACAGTCTACTCTGGCGCATAAAAAAGCGAGTGGACATTACTGAGCTCAGCCTGTGGATCCACACGCCTGCGTGTGAAGCTCTAATCGCTGTGGTGTGTCCTGGAGTCTAAGGAGCTTGGAAAGAAAAGCGTCTGGACCTCTTTGAGTTGCTTGAAGACGTTTCACCTCTCATCAGAGAAGCTTCTTCAGCGAGGGAGACAAAGAAGGACAGACGCAACAACATTGTCATCCCCTATGTAGCCGGTGTATCAGAGAAACTCAGGAGAGTTTTCTCCAAGCACGACATCCCGGTGTATTTCAGACCCAGCAACACGCTCAGACACAAACTGGTTCATCACAAAGACAAAACTCCAAAACACGAACTTAACAATGTGGTGTTTGCTGTACAGTGCAGCGAGGAATGCCCAGACCTCTACATCGGAGAGACCAAACAGCCACTTCACAAGCGCATGGCACAACACAGAAGAGCCACCTCCACAGGACAAGACTCAGCAGTCCATCTGCATCTAAAGGTCAAAGGTCACTCTTTGAGGATGCCAATGTTCACATTTTGGACAGAGAGGACAGATGGTTTGAAAGAGGAGTGAAAGAAGCATCTATGTCCACTGTGAGCGACCATCTTTGAACAGAGGCGGGGTTTACGACACCAACTGTCTGCCATCTATAATCCAATTTTGAGATCCTTCCCAGACGCCTTAACGCCCACTCACATCCTGGGCCATCTGACCTCAGGACATCACATGATAAGGTGGGGCCAGGTTTCACAATGAACTCGCCCGAAACTCTGGCTGATTGGGACCCACGCCCAGTTTCCCACCTTGGCTCAGGTGATTAGAGGATCATCAGGGGGTCCTTTTGTCCCTCTGTGGGGGGAAACTCCCACTAGGTTTATATCTGGGACTCTCCACCATTTGACCTTAGAACTGAAGAAGCTTCTCAGATGAGAGGTGAAACGTCTTCAAGCAACTTAAAGAAGTCCAGACGCTTTCCTTTGCAAGCTCCTTTGACTACGATGACCTGGATGACTGAGAACCTTCACCGACACATGTCCTGGAGTCTGTGCCACCGATCGGTGGAGAGTCCGTCTCCGATTGCGCTCGGCTGCCGGGCAGAGCCTTCTGCTCAGAGTGCCGCCTGGAGACCAGTTTATAAAGCCCAGCAAAGAGGAAGATCGCAGAAATGACAGCAAAGTAGGCACCGTAGATGAAGAACTAAGGAAGGAAACAAAGAAGTTATCACATCTACATCGTGGAAGCTAAATAAGCACAACACAAGTTCTACATTTGTTATACTTCCTCACCTGAGTGAAGACTTTAAGGCCCAGGACAGAGGAGTCCACCACCACCAGCGTGAGCAGAGACTGCAGCAGCAGAGCCACAAAGGTGTTCACTCCAAACACCAGCGCATACCGCTGCATGTTCAGGCTGGCCACAACCTGATACCTGAGGGAGACAGATGAGTTTGAACAGACAAGCAGTCGCAGCGTGTGAGCAGTAACAGGAAGTCAGATGGAGAACAGTCTCCTCGTGTTTGCACACATGCACTTCTACAGTCAGCAGTGCTCCCACGCATTCAGCTCAATGTGCTCCTTATTCCAAACAACAATCTTCCCATGTCCTGTTAATCCCTCACATGGATTCAATTTCTGCTTTTAAATTTCCAGTAAGCTGTGCCAGAACTGCTTCATGGAATAACACTAATGTTTGCACTTCTGCCTGAAACGAGCCATGGAAGTGCTGCCGTCTCGGCCTGGTTTGACTTCTGGATCATCGCCGCGCGTGCACTGGACGTCGATACAGGATATCATGATACAGGATATCATGATACAGGATATCATGATACAGGATATCATATGTGGCTGGTGATTGGGTACTCACGTGGCCACAGTGATGAGCAGCATGTACGTGGTTCTAAAGAGAATGTAGAAGCTGTATGACAGCCAGATGTGCTCCGTGTTCATGACAAACACACACACAGCCATGAGCAGGGAGAGCACACACAGAGCCAACTCCCCCCACAGAGCCCAGGTCACAGGCAGGCAGCCCACCAGCAGCGCCGCCAGAGCCCCTGTGGACGAGAGGAACACAGAGCTGCTGTCAAAGGTCAGTCACGCTGGGAGAGTGTGCTCACGTCACAGCTTTACACAGTCTGCTGTGAAGCAACCAGAGCAGCCTCACCGAGGAGCGTGGACAGGGTCTCTACATAGCCGTTGTAGATGATGTTTTCCTTGGATGGAAGAATGTGCTCCCACAGCGGCTGAGAATAGTTGATGATCTGGAAGTAGCCACAGGTGGCCAGAGCCCACCACAGCGACCAGGCCAGCAGGGTGCGACACCTGTAGCACTGCACAAAGTCATCAAACAGCATCCGCAGGACCGCCACGAGCCCCCTGCTGCCACTTCCTGCCTCAGAGGACCTGGATGCCTGCACAGACAAATGCAGACGTGTGACCTCTTCACACAATCGTACAAACTCAGAATCTCTCATCACAGCCGTGGCCAGATATGGCAGCTTCACTCACCCTGGAGATATCCGGCCTGTTCAGCGGCACCCTGCTGTCCGAATCCTCCGCCTTCTCCATCCTGGTGGCGGTTCTGCTGCTGCTGCGGGGCCTAGCCTCCTCTGCTCCTGCACGCCTGTGGAAGAACAAGCTCCTCTTGGGCATGGGGAGAAAGCAGGGCACCAGAAAAGCCACAGAGGCTGACGCCAGTGTAATGATGACGAGGTAGACCTTGTCAACTTCGGCCAAGGATACCAGCAACTGACCGGTCAAAGACCCAGCCGCTGATCCGAACAAAGTCACGCTGCGGCAGTAAGCAGTCACTCTCTGGTAGTGCTCCGGCTCCACCACGCTGTAGATGTAGGAATAGTAGGCCACCTCTGAAGCTGTGGACAGACCGTAGAAAAACTCCAGCAGCTGCATGGCCAGCATGCCCTGTGCCCTCCACAGCATGACATAGGTGACCACTAAGCTGCTGGCCTGGAGCACCAACACCGGCTTATAACAGAGGAAGTCAGTGGCCAGGAAGATGGGGAACAGCAGGAACAGATAGGAATACGTCCATACTGGAAAGATTTCATTGACAACCTGCAGACAGAAACAGTCACCGCATGGATTAGAGCTCCTTTCACTTTCCTTTGCATCAATAAATGACAAGGATGCTGTGCATTTGAAACCTGTCAGTGATCTTGCTGATCTCCTGTGCAGCTATCCTGCTCAGCACCGTACGGACGTGTGGCTCCGTTTTGTGAACATTAAACCTAACGTTAACGTTTTAGTTGAGGAATTACAGAGAGGTAAACTTACCTTGCAAAAACAAAAAAGTCTGCTCATTAATCGGCGTTACTTAAATAGCTAAGCCAGGCTCGGGGTACGACACGGTCGTCCCAGCCTTTGGACAGCGCAACAGTGGGCACATCCAAGCAGATTCAAGGTTTGCTTTCTGAAGGCCTGCTGAGAGCCTCGGCATTGTACAAGTAATTATTTAAGGATTAGCCAGAAATTCTGGTCATTTTTCAGGGAGATTACTCCGTCTACAGCGAGGGTCTCTGGGATTACTGCTCCAACACTGAGATCGCCATTTTCAGTCTTTCCTGCCTGACGCTGTACACTGCGGCACCATGCAACATCCCTGCGACAGCACATTTTGTAACAACTGTCATACTGCAAATGCAACAGTTCTTACGAAAAACAAAATGGGAAACATAAACCACACGTATGTCTGAAGGTTCTCAGTCATCCAGGTCATCGTAGTCAAAGGAGCTTGCAAAGTCCAGACGCTTTTCTTTGCAAGCTCCTTTGACAATAAACCACACGTACATGCAATAAAACCAAGTATTTTCACTTTGATATGACACCAGGACATGGTAAACTTTCAGAATCAGTCTCAAAAAACCTTCAAAACAATGCTAAAGTAAGTCGTTTCTTATTATTTAAAGGTCCAGTTGCTGCCAACAACCAGCCCAGGCTCTCTCCTGCTGGGCTGACCCCAGCTCCACCATCTAGGAGGAGCCAGTGGTCTTTGTTCTGCTCTCCAGGACATTTGATGTGATCCTGATATTTGATGAGGGAGTCAGAGTGTGTAACAGCGGGATGAAGCAGCTACGTGACTCCATCCTTCAGACAGAGACACACAGGCAGGCTGAGCAGCTGATTAAAAGCACGTTACATCACATGTCTTGAGCCCCACGCCAGCAGCCCCCGCCCGCAGACTGGGGTGAGCTGGTCCGGGACGCCCTTTGTATCTCTGCTGCTTTCATAAACTTTAGTTTCTGCTTTGCTGATCTTTGCTGTTTATCAGCCAAATGACACTAAATGACGGAATCCTGATTAAGCGGGTTGCTGAGTGAGGAGGTTTTGGGGGTCCTCTGCGCGTGCCCGGCACCGCCTGTCCACAGCTTAGCTCCAACTTACTTCACGTGAACATTAACAGTGTAAACGCACGCTGATGCTACAGAGCGTGACGACACAACTAAGACGCGCCTCAGAGTCGCTGTTGCTAACAGCGAGCTAGCTCACCTGAGTCTCCGTCAGGTTCTTGTCTGGTCCCATCAGGTAGGCGGTGATGAAGGGCTCGCATGGCCGCATGCTGGTGAAGAAGCCGTAGACACAGAGCAGCACAGTGGGGACAAACACCGACATGTCTGAAGCAGCATGACCTACGCCGGTCCTTCTTCTACTTCTTTCTTCTTCTTCTATCTTTTTATGGCGGTGCCAAACAACTTCAGGTACATTACCGCCACCTTCTGGACTGGAGTGTGAATCGCAACGCCGCGTTTATATGGACAGCTACTGCCCCCTGCCGGCCTGAAACAGGCTTTTCACACAGTTGTGTGACGAACGCTAAAGATGCAGGTGAAACTCAGAAAATCAGAATATCGCGCAAACTTTCATTTATTTCAGTAATCGAACTTAAAAGGCCAAACTTATATATGATATGAGACTCGTTACATGCAAAGTGAGATATTTCAAGCCTTTATTTGTTATCATTTTGATGATTGTGGCTTAAAGATTATGAAAAGCCCAAATTCAAGAGCTCAGAAAATTAGAATATGGTGAAAAGGTTCAATATTGTAGGCTTAAAGGGTCATTCTTTAATCAGCCAATTAATCCATAACACCTGCAAAGAGTTGCTGAGCCTTTAAATGGTCTCTCAGTCTGGTTCAGTAGGAATCACAATCCTGACTGCTGACATGACAGTTCCGCAGAAAACCATCATTGGTGTCCCCAAAGCGCTGTACAAAGAACACTAATAGAAAGCTTGTGGAAGAAAAACTTCCACTGAAAAGAGAAAGATGAGCGACATGAGACGGAACAAAACAACACCTCAGCAGTGCCCCAGGCTGACAGCATCCATGCCACGCTGCACTGAGGCAGTACTGAGTACACATGCAGGATTAGACTTTCCAGAAGTCTGACATTTCTCTATTTAAAATCCTTGTTTTATTGATCTCATGTAATATTCTGACTGTGACTTCACCACAGTGAGGCGCAGACGGGCCAGTGATGGAAAATCTTAGATGCTAATCTTTCTCCCTCAGCCAGGAGGCTGGAGACAGTTATCAGTCAGATGCTGCTATGGCAACAAAGGAGTGGCTTAAGCACGTTGAGGTCATGCAGAGAGCAAACGTACAAGCTGTAGGGAGGGAACGCCATCAGCTGTTAGGCCTCAGAACTACGACCAGGACACTTTGTGCTGGCTTTTCCTTCACCTGTAACCTTGCCACCTGCAGCATAACGTGTATCATGAAGGAACATTTTTAGGTTTGAGATGTTTTACTTACCACCGCCCCTCCCCAGCACCAATAAATACATCCATAAACAGCATTTTTCTTGCAATATTTGGGAAACTCTTTATTGATAAATGTACATCTTTCTGAAACGGTGAAGCCTCACCACCAAGCAACTTAAATTAGAAGACTGGACCAACAGGCACAGATACAAAGAGAATATTTGATCAACCAACACACGAGGAAGCAAGCTGTGGATTACTGAAGCAGATGCTTTGTATGGATGAGTGCTGCCACTGTAATGAGCCAAACATGACAGGTTACAGGAAACATGGACGTGTAGTTAAACTGCATCAGTGAGGCTGCTCTGCAGAGGTCACAGCAAACCTCTTCAAAGGTCAGTAATACATTAGACACAGAGTTACATCTGACAACAAATCCTCTGAAGCATCAATTAGAAACCTGCTCACAACTGAAGACCGACACAGAAACGGGATCAGCACATTCTCAACAAACTGAGGTTCAGCCTCGATTCCCGCAGAGAGCGTTGGGATGGAAGCGAGGACAGCTGACGGGAAACATCCGTGCTCCACGAGCTTCCCTCGACGCCGCCGTCGAGACAAGGCTGCTTTATTATTTGTAGCCATCCAGAAGTTGTTGGGCTCCTGCTTCAGTTTTCCTGTGTCTCAGCACCCACTGAGCTGAGACACAAGTGGGCAGACATGAGCACGAGTGGATGCAGCCGAAGCTGCTAAACACAGAGTTGTTTCCACAGGCTGGTGCAGCCAGAGAGCAGAGTGAGTGCTGGACTGATGGAATCGTCTACCACAAACTCGCACCAAGCAGCAGTGATTTCAAGCTTGAATGTGACAGTTTTAAGTTCCTAACTGCAGGATCGCCTCCATGATGAAGAGGAGGATTCGTTTAGTTTCTCTAAGGTCGGGGCTAAGCAGCGCAGTGCTGTGGGAGGAGCAAACCTGATCTTACACCAACACATGAATGAGTGTCAGACTGGGAACTAAAGCAGCACACATCAATCCTTCCCTGCAGCAGGACATTGCTTAGCTTCTGTTTAAACACTCCTAATCACACTAACCATCAATAAGCTTCACTCTTGGGTGATGAGGACCTTGGTTACCGAGGGTTAGACCTCACCTCTGATGTGTTTAGCCAGCTTATCACAGAGACAGAACTACACACAACGCATCTGAATTTATGCAACAGAGCAGGGTAGCTGTGCCGTTTGCATGACAGCATCCTACTCTGTGCTGCATACACACAGATCAAACTGATGCTGATCGGGTTTCTCTGGGTTCAGCAGAAAACAAGCACGTGTCCTAATACGTCAGCCCGTTCTTTTAAGAGACAGCGTTTCATATCCTTGACACTTCCACACAAAGCATCTTAGAGTAGCACAAACATTCAGCAGACCAGTTGTATTGAGAGCGGAGACCATCTCTGGTATTTCCCGTGTGCACGTGGTGTTGCAGCAGAGGCACCTACATGGTAAAATGTCTCGTGTAGTCGTATTCTATCGTGGGAATGACGGCCTGCACAAACTTGAGGAAAATCAGAAGATACCTGAAAGCATCAGTTAAGGAAACAGAGGTGGGGGTAGAGCGACCACCTGCCTGACCACGAACACTCGCTGCAGGCCAGCCGCCGAGTGCTGCTCTTCCTGCCTGGCTGCAGCCGGCTCCTATAAAACATCGAAGTGCTGATACGTCAATGAACTGCTGGTGTACAGAGGTGAAAACATCCATCCCTGCTGCTTATCCTGGTAAGCCTGGCACCTCCTCAGGCAGCTTCTTGGCTGGTCTGGAGAGATGCTGTTAGGAGCCAGCAGAGCGACACAGGCTCTCTGTGCTGCCTGCCCTTTGGCTCTGCTGCTGACCGGAGCTTCCCCTGCTGGGTGCTGCTGCAGCGCCCACACCTCCAACAGCTCTGACACTTTCCTTTTGCAAATAGCCGAAAATACACAACATGCACAAAGTTAAGCTTCTCAACGGAGCCACTTTCCTTTCATTGCGTCGCTGTGGTGACGCGTGACATCATCAAAGGATACATATGCACTCCCAGCTCTCCTCCTCCTTCTGCCACAGTCTCAATGATCTTTTTCATCACTTCAGCATGCCTGAAAGCAAAGGTCACGAGTTCAAAGGTTAAAGGTTCTTGTCAAAATGTTTGCGACACAGACATCCTTAAACACGACCACGGTTCCTTTATCTCAGCGGAGACGCAGAAGAATGCGACTCGATACCAGCACCAGCTGACTCGCTATTAATGGTCATGTGATCACTCAGTACTGTTGCAGGGGCTCTGCCTTACAATAACATCTGCGGTCGGTATAGAAATCAAGTTGAACTGAACACAGAAGTGAGTTGAACGTGTGAAACAGGTTTTGGGCTGGAGCAGCAGCTTCTAGTGAAAACAGGAAGTTAGTGTGTGACAACGTTTGGCTTCTTAGAGCGCAGTGAAGAAGTCACAGTGCAAATCAGCATCACCGAACGCACCACAGTGTCATCCATCTTTTCCCGATTCATTCATTCAGCACAATAAGCCTCGACACCATCACAGGTGCAGCTGTGTGGTGGGTCTGCATCTTTCAACGCGACAAACGAAACTCTCACCTGCAGGGGTGAACCGAGCACATGGCAGGTGGAGGAAGGTGGGGGTGGTTCTCGATGGTGACCGTCTTCTTCACGTGGTCCTGACTGATGTCCTCGTACATCTGCTCTACAGTGAGCGGCTGCCTGTCCTGGGAGACAAAGCAACAAAGCTGGTCTCAGTTTTGGTTGCGCTCCTTCTCAACAAGAAGCAGCAGACTGCAGATGTTCACGCTCGGAGTCTATCGACTGCTTATCATCTCTATACCACGAAGAATAAAGTTCATACTTCATCATATCCAAAGAGCCAGAGTCGAGGGGTCTGGTAGTATTTATCGTATGTGATGTACAGGTCATATGTTCTCGTCTGAAGAATGGCGTCTTCGCTGCCAGGTTCTGCTTTGGTTTTAGTTTCTGCTATTTTGCTGGTGTCCAGGGTTGCCTAGAGACAGAAAACAAGAGTCAGGCCGGAGTCGGGCGGATGATGGCCGAGGTCAGACAGCGCTGCGAGCGTACCTCGTCTGTTTCCAACAGCCCGCTTTCTTCATATTCTGAAAAGACAGCAGAGTGTGAGGGCCGATCTGGGAGCACATCCAAACCACAGAAAGACACGATCAATACCTTCCATATCTGCCGCTTCTCCGTCTTCATCATCCTCATCATCACAGCATGCTGCAGACGGGGCATTCATGTTCTTATCCTAGAAGAGTTCAGATTAAGAGCACAGATATGTAACCGCACAATCAGACACCGGAGACGCAATCGATGGCATCGAGGCTTTTATGATGCTCCACCAATCGCAAGGAGCGAAACTGAGCAAACGAACCGTTTCATTCACATCTGAGCAGTAATCTGGGAGGAAACATCCCTCCGTCACGCACGCCCTCGGTCCTTCAGCCGAGGGATGGAACTATTAGAGCGGTGGAGGATTTTACATTCATATTAATTAGAAATCAAACCTTGTTGTTGTCCAGTGAGATTTCCTGCACAGCATCTGTGACTCCTAACACACCTGCACAGACACATTCAGGGGATCTTTACTGACACCTGCACAGTCATCAGGAAATACTCAGCACACGTCTGATATCACGGCCACGTCATCAGAATGAGATTGATCAGTGTGATCGTATGTGAAGCATGTAGCCCACTCCAGTATGTGACAGTGAACGAACAGTTAGCTGTGCGCGGGTACCACCAGCATCACACCTGTGTTGTGGTAGGTGTCCACCCAGCCCCCGTCTCCATCGTCCTCCTCGATGATGGCCTCCAGCTCATCTGAATACTCCATCTGCTTACAGCGCTTGTAACAGGGCACTGCGCACGCACGCACACACACACACACACACACACACACACACACACACACACACACACACACACACACACACACACACACACACACACACACACACACACACACACACACACACACACACACACAAAATTATTTGTTCACAATATCATCTTTAAAAACTTCAGTCCTGTCCTGAACTTTAAGGCACTTGAGGTTCAGTCTTGTGTCACTAAACACTGAAGCAGTGAGTCAGACTTGCTGACTGAACTTCCTGAAGTCTGCCTCTCACCATTGCGTGTCAGGAGAAACTGTTTGTCCTGTGGCAGATATGGCTTCACCTTTGCTTCTTCTCCAGTGGCCCTGACGGGAGAGAAAAAACAGATCATTTGCTGCCGTTTTAGCCCGGCTCAGGTCCTGAGACCTCCACCCTGGTTACAAACCACAGTTTATTACAGTTGTTCTCATCTTTCTGACAGTGAAGAACATGGACTGAGCTTCTGGTTTGGAAACATGAAGTCTAACAAGGTCCTTCAGTCTAAAGAGCACTAGATGTGGACAGCTGTGGACAGCTGTGGCTTTGGCTCTTGAGTGAAACGGCTTTGTGTCCTCAGTTTGGGTCTAGCTCGTGGTGATGCTGCATTTCACAATGGAAGATTATCTGTGGCATGAACTCACATTAACTAACAAGCTGTCAATCACAAGCCATTATCACTGACCGTTAACCGATATCAACTTCATGGCTTCAAATCAAGCCTCCAACAGGGGAGGTCACAGTAACTACATCCAGCTTTTACATTTGTCCTGCATTTGACATGCAAAACATAAAAAACGACCTCTGTTCTGTGGCAGCAGGTTTCAGTGTGTGATGATGTGCCATAATGACACAAGCTGGGTTTCTCCGTGTTGCATCACAACAGCTTCTTCCATTATGCTGTGAAATCGCTCGGACACATTCAACACTCATGCAAGCTCTGAGGCCGCATCCTCATTTTCCACACAAACGTTCCTGTGAAAGCTGTCAGCACAGGCAACATTAATCGTCACCACACTGCAGCAGGACGGACAATGTTGGCGACACACTGGTGCAGCGGTAACACTGCTGCCTCCCATCAAGAAGCTCTGGGTTTGAACCTGCCAGCTGGTGGCTAATAAAGACTGAGTCAGAGAGGCGGAGCAACATTTCATCAGCAGAGCAAGTCCACAGATGATCAACACTTTGTGACTAAAGCAAAGGGGCAGAAAGCTCTGTCATTACTACTGAAGACGAGGACTGCAGCCAAGCTGCACAGCTGTAAACAAGGTTATGACAGCGCCCCCCATCACAGCAGCACCTGGGTTTCATTGTCTTAGTGGAGGGTGGGGGTGACGTTGCACTGTGTGGTGCAATCTCACAGTTTCAGCTCCACTCTGTGCATCGAAAACTTGTTTGGACAGATTGATAAAGACTGCCAACTCTGCGCTCTTTGACAACTGCTCGATGGACTGAATGGGACCGTGTACCACAGTTTCCAGGAGCTCTAACAATCGAGCCCGCACATGTAAGGATATCGCACATACGTGTTCTTTGTATGATCTTTCCTTTTCTAACGTACGCTGATGGTTTTGTCATTCTGTCCCCCTACAGTGATGGTTTGCAGCAGTTACTTGGAGTTTGAGTTAGTTATGGTGCCCAGTATATTTCCTTTAACCCTTTGTGGTGATGATGATGTGAAGCATGTAAGCATGAGCACAGATGATGGGAAAGCGGCCCCTTTGTATAAACGGCTCATTTGTGGTGTTACTACGGTAAAAAAAAAGTGCAGGTTTTTTTACATTTTCCATCTGCAGGTCAAACGTTTGTCACAGGAACGACGTGTATAAATGTGGCGTCTGAATGAGTGGAGAAACTGAGCTTTGACCGTCGGAGCACACGGAGACGCGCTTCCAGAAACACGGCACCAAGCGTCTAGTTTCGTCTTTCGTGCGTTTCTTTTTTAATGACACGGACTCGTCGTGTTTGACATGAATTAAGCCTCTCACCATTTCCATGTGGGGCAGTGATGAACCAGGTGATCTCCAGCTGCTACAAACTGAAAGACAGACAGACAGAGGAGCGGACAGGTGAGGCCCTGAGCAGAGCCGCGGAGGAACAGTGTATGCGGGGCTGTGTCGGTCTCACCTCCTCCGGCGTGAGGACTCCCGTCTCTTTGAATCTCGATTCCTGTCATTAACAACAAAGTGAAAGCTGTTAGTGCTCCGCTTCACTTCCGGTGAAGCAGCTGCGTGTCAAACATTTCACACCGAGAGCACAAATGAAGCCCCGACGTCCGAGCGGCTACAGCTACCAGCAGCTAGCTGCCGCGCTTACCTTTAATACCGGGGTGAATAACTCGGCCACCCCGAGGGCCGTGCCCTTCACCGTGTTGATCACGTTCTGCATATCGGAGAATCCTCTGGGATCTGAACCTTCCTGTCAGAGCTCCGACTATTTTGGCATAGCTGTTCACACTGCCAGCTACACCGAGTCACATGATTCGCCTATAAACTTCCGCTATACAACTCTCGCGAGAAGTGTAGGACTGGCTTAAACGTGCGTGAAGAGCGAAACAACCGCGTTTAGATCGGTTTGTTTCAGCGTCAGAACCGCTGCGGTGAGCTGTGCGTGAGCTCCGGTGCGGTCACACCGCAGACTTCGCCTTCAAACTACGGCGGCTCGCGCTATGTGGAAACAGGTGAGCTCGCTGCTGTGGAGGGCACCGGTCCCCGGACTTTCACCGGCGGTCACGGTCCGATCCACGTCCCACGGACCCAGCTGCAGTGTGTCCGGGAGGGAGTGGGTGAGGCCTAGCGGCTTTGATACGGGCTTGAAGACTTTTAACAGCCTGAGCAAACAGAAGGAGCCCCTGATCCTGACAAGAGAGGGGGTCGCGACCTGGTACGGACTCTGACCACTGTGCTGCTCATGCCGGCACACGGCGGCCTAATAACCCACTTATGTGTTACATCTCAGGTACAGCTGTGGACCCACCGTGTACGATCACGCTCACCTGGGTCATGCAAGGTAACTATGGCAACAGTAGGTGAGGCTATGGCGTGCAGGTAAACGGTGTGTGTGTGTGTGTGAGCTCTGTGGGTTTGTTCCGTCACAGCTCATACGTGAGGTTTGACATCCTGCAGAGGATCCTCAGCAGACTGTTTGGGATCACCGTGATCCATGCCATGGTCATCACTGACATCGATGACAAGATCATCAGAAGAAGCTGGGAGGTGAGGCCGTCCTGCACCTGCTGGCTGCTGCTCTGTTCTCACCTGCTGACGTCATGTGTTTCATGTGGTCCAACAGGAAAACGTTTCCCCAGCCGCCGTCAGCGCAGTGTACGAGGACGAGTTCAAGAGGGACATGCTGTCGCTTAAGGTGTGAGCTTAGACCTGCAGCAGATCAGCCTGCGTTACAGCATGCACAGGATAAAAGGATAGATCTATTTCATGAAGCACTGCACAATTTTACCTCCACTCTGAGTTTCAGCGTTTGTAAAACCATCCTGTTCATGTATAAACACGTCTTCATGTTGTTGTGTTGAGGTGGTTCCTCCTGCAGTGTATTTAAGGGTCACAGAGAATGTGCATCATATCGTCGCCTTTATTGAGAAGATCATCAGAAATGGACACGCTTATGCCACGAAAGAAGGTAAATATGGAGGAGCTTGTTTTGTTTGGTGTTTTTGGTCGTCTGAAATGCTGGAGGTGTCACTTGTGCACTGCTTTGGTTGCAGGCGATGTGTATTTTGACATTCAGTCCATTGGTGGCAGGTACGGCAGGTTTGTGGGAGCTGTGGATCCTCAGGGAGAGCCCGGTGAGTGTTGGTGTGAGTTAATCCTTTCTTATTATTTCTGTTTCCATGTCGATGTTAGTGAGACGCCCGAGTTTACTGACCGCAAACTCTACGGCTCTGCAGGCTCCTCAAACAAACGGGACCCGAGGGACTTTGCTCTGTGGAAACCGTCGAAACCTCGAGAACCATACTGGGAGTCCCCGTGGGGCAGAGGAAGACCGGGCTGGCATATTGAATGTTCTACCATTGCTAGGTTTGTCCTGTTTGGTCATGAATCCCATTAACGCTTGGGAATTCTTATCTTTGCCCAGTTACAGACAGACCTCAGTAAATGAGGCGACTTTTACTGCGGTGATTTGTTTCCTCCGTGGCATCGTGAAGTGGGCGACTGAACAACCTGTGGTTTCTGCATTTCCTCAGTTTGTAGACACGTTTTCTTGTTGTGGGTTGATTACAATTCTAAATTGGAAGCCAGTGTAGAGCGGCCAACAGCAGGGACGTGTGCTCCTTGTGTTTCGTACCGGCCAGCAGACGAGCAGCTGCAGTAAAGAGAGGCCTGGTCCAAACCAAAGAACTGCAGCAGTCCCGTCTGCAAGTACTGAACAGATGAACAACACGTTCAGACTTTAGCTGGAAGGTTTGGCTTTCCCTCGGCCAGCTGTCTCAGATGGAACAAGTCAGATTGAACTTGTGTGCTCACCTGCCTACAGTGTAAAGGACAGAATAAGGTACACAACAAGGTTTTAACACTTGTCTTACAATGTCAGGATAAAGGACCCACAGCAAATTTAAATCCTTACAACTGTAAGGATATCTGCTGTCCTCAGGGGATGTACTAACAGCTGAGATGAGTCTGCGCCTGCTTTAAAAGGCAAACCTGCAAAAGTGAAATGAAAAAATAGACCCCAGTGTTAGCAACTGTTAGCAACACTGACTTCATGTTAGTCCAGCAGTGATGTTTGTTTCTTCAGTCGAACAGTTGAATGCAGGATTTAATTAGCCTGAGTTTGAGCGCTGATGAGTTTCCTGTTCGTGTGCTTTCAGCTCCATGTTTGGGGGACAGTTGGATGTCCACTCTGGAGGGATTGACCTGGCTTTTCCTCACCACGAGAATGAGATCGCTCAGAGTGAGGCGTATCACCAGTGTGGACAATGGGCAAACTACTTCCTGCACTCAGGTAAAAGCCAGACGTGGCTCGTGCCTCGTGCACGCTCTCTGGAAAGCAGACACTGTCTGAAAGTGTTTGGGGGTCATTCGTGTTGCAGAGCTGAGTTTGGGAGCAGCTGTGTGTCGTGCTCTGTTCAGCGTGTTGTTGCTGTTTTTAGGGCACTTACACCTGAAGGGCAGTCCAGAGAAAATGTCTAAATCTTTAAAGAACTACATCAGCATCAAGGTACAGTCCTGCTGACTCCTTGTCTTATTTGTGTTATTGCATTAATACCTGAATGCGCTATGCTGTGTGGAGTGGGTGAAAATGATCACGTCTTCGTCCTCGTCAGGATTTTCTGCGGTCTTATTCTGCCAATGAATTCCGGATGTTTTGTCTTTTGAGCAAATACAGATCAGGTGAGGCGCACGATTAGGTTTTCCCAGTCTGATACATGAATGCATTCGTTATTGGAGTTCGAGTCGCATAGCTGCGATGTTAAACTGCACTTCCTGTAATGTCTCCACAGCTATCGACTACAGCGACAGCAGCGTGCTGGAGGCTCGCAGCACTCTGGACACCATCTCCACCTTCTGCCACGATGCTCAGGCCTACATGAAGGGTCAGCTGCAGTGTTCACACGTGCAGGAGGATTTGCTCTGGAGCAGGTGCCCACTTTCTCCTCCGCCCATGGCCGAGTGTCCTCCTCATATTTCTGTCTCTCCTGTTCCTCGCACAGCTGTAATTAGCTGAAGCAGTGAGGACAGGACAGATGCTAGTGCCGGCAGCAGTCATGCATTCTGAGACGCTTGCCTGCTACATTCAGCTGATGCCTGAGAGGTTCTGCTCCGTCTACAAACTGTCTTCCTGTGTTTTTGTACTTTTCAGGCTGGCTGAGACTAAATCCACTGTGATGTCCACTCTAGCAGATGACTTTGATACACCGAGAGCCATAAGTGCTCTGATGAATCTGGTTTATCACGGAAACTGCCAGCTTCAGCCTGTTTCTACGGTAACTGTCTGACAGGTTTGATGTCAGTGTGTCAGTGATGTTGGTGGAAAGTCCCAGTTAGCAGCTGGGTCTCCACCAGGTCTGGCAGTATTGGCGCTCTGGGATCATGCTGTCGTATGTTGGGTTACATGTTGGTCTGAAGAGCTTTGAGTGGTCAGAATAGACAAGCTTCAGTTCCACCTCTGTCACAACAGCTGGACAGGCCCACTGTTGTGAAATCTGAACTTCTGCCAGCAGACGTCGGGTTAGGTCAGGGGTGGGGAGCTCCGGGCCTTGAAGGCTGGGCTCCTGCAGGTTTTAGACGTGTCCTTGATCCAGCACAGCTGATTTAAATGGATAAATCCTCCTCAACATGTCTTTAAGTTCTCCAGAGGCCTGGTAATGAACTGGTCATGTGATTCAGCCGTGTTGATCCAGGGTGAGATCTAAAACCTGCAGGACAGCGGCCCTGGAGGCCTGGAGTGGCCCACCCCTGCACTAGAGATCAGGAACAGGAGCTATGACAACAGTGTGGTCAGTGAGCAGCAGCGATACTTGTTCTAAGCGTATTGCACATTCAGACACGAGCTTGTTTCTGTTCAGCCTGCTGGGGCGGCCCGCAGCCCCGCCGTGTTCGGAGCAATGGTCACCTACGTCAGAGATGTCTTGGATGTGTTTGGCATCGACCTGCACACTAAGGTCAGCACTTTTTCACTGTGATGTCCCTTCAGCGGGCAGCATGACACTGAGGCGTCTGTCAGTGAATCATGATAATAATCCTTGATTGAAGAGGTCTCCTGTGTGTCTCTGTCCTCTGAAGGAGGCTGAGGTGCTGAGCAGCCGAGGCAGTCTGCAGCCGGTTGTGGAACAGCTGACTCAGTTCAGGAGCAAAGTTCGAGAGTTCGCGCTCGCTCGGCGGGACGGTTCATCCACAGGATCCCCGAGCAGAGCTGGACTGCACCCTGACAGACTCCCTCTGCTTAAAGCCTGCGATGCCCTCAGAGAGGACCTGGCGCCCCTGGGTGTGCTGATAAAGGTACGACGCACAGAAGGTTAGCTCAGTGCATTTCCTGTTTCGGGCTACACTGGTGGGATTGTCTTGTGTTTTCAGGATAGAGGAGCCACCTCCACGTGGGAGATCAAAATGAGCGCGAGAGGACAAGGACCGGAGGACAAAGGCGAGGAGACGTCCAGCTGAAGGTTTTTTCATTTCTAACAATGATTTGAGCTTTGTGGACTCGACGGAAAGACTTGGAATAACAAGAAAACAGCACGATGCCATAAAACAGAAGCTCAGGGTGCTGGACTCTTAGTTTGTTTCCTGAGCCACGTGCTGTACCTGCCTGTCACTGTGGCTCCACCTCTCAGTCATGTTACAGGCCTCCTTTATTTTTAAAACCCGGTGGTTATCCAGTACTGGACTAAGTCTGAGCTGCTGTAATGCTCACAGTTGGCTGTACCTGCAGTATCATCAAGGTTTGATACCCACCTCACCTTATTCACCTCACAAGGCTGATGCTCACCATCCTACAGCACCAGGAGCTGCAGAGGTCTGGCAGCATACCCCACCACCACTGTATTTGGCATTGATACATTAAAGTTTTGCTGAAAGTACTGCATTGGTCCTTAAACTGCGCAGTCTCTTTATGGATTCATCTCTGAGTACAAGGTCTGAGAATAACGAGAACTTCCTTCATGAGTAGCACACGAAGCTTCTGGGTAGTTTAACCATTACCAATCAGAGCTGACACAAATGTGTGGAACAAACTGAATGCAGCACACGTAGAAAGCCCACCATAAATATACCCAAGTGTGGGTCTAAGGAGCTTGCAAAGAAAAGCGTCTGGACCTCTTTGAGTTGCTTGAAGACGTTTCACCTCTCATCAGAGAAGCTCCTTCAGTTCTAAGGTCAAAGAGGAGTAAAAGAAGCATCTATGTCCACTGTGAGCGACCATCTTTGAACAGAGGGCGGGGCTTAACACAACAACTGTCTGCCATCTATAATCCAGTTCTGAGTTCCTTCCCAGACGCCTTAACGCCCACTCACATCCTGGGCCATCTGACCTCAGGACATCACATGACAGGGTGGGGCCAGGTTTCACAGTGAGCTCACCTGAAACCCTGGCTGATTGTGACCCACACCTGTTTTCACACCTCGGCTCATGTGATTAGATGGAGGATCGATCATCAGGGGGTCCTTTTGTCCCTCTGTGGGGGAAAACTCCCACCAGGCTTAAATGTGGGACTCTCCACCATTTGACCTCAGAACTGAAGAAGCTTTTCGGATGAGAGGTGAAACGTCTTCAAGCAACTTAAAGAAGTCCAGACGCTTTTCTTTGCAAGCTCCTTAGACTACGATGACCTGGATGACTGAGAACCTTCACAGACATGAGTGTGGGGTGTTACTTTGAGCCACTGAGTTGCTTCACGACTCCAGTAAAGAAGAAACGCCGTTGTGCAAATGCAAAAATACACAAGTCACTGATAAAACTCAGGATTTGTTTATTCCAGTTTGGCTGAAATCCTCATACTGGGAGGTCAACTGTAACCTGACGTCTGCTGTGATTAAGAGTACTGAGCCACACAGGATGGCAGTGAAGAGTCCAGCTGTGTGTCAACAGCCACTCAAGGATGTGTCCACAGAGTGTCAGGCAGCACTGCGACTCTCAGGCATCAGGTTGATCAGAGAGTTGCTGGCCTGAGCCAGCTCTGTGATGGACACTCGGCCTCGCTGCCTGATGAACTGAGCCACAGAGTCCAGCTCTCCTGGAGTGATGGAGATAAACTTCCCTCTGTCATCAATCACACCTGCAGACAACAAGTAAACAGTGAATGCACCGTTTCTTATACAGCACCGTTCTCCTCAGTCTGAGCACTCAAAGCGCTCTGCACATTCACACATTCAAGGGCTTTTTTCTAAGCACTTCCCATTTATGGCTACATTCACGCTGCAGGCGAAAGCGCATCAAATCAGACTTTTCTGACCCTGTGCGACCATCTATCCGATCATGGTGACAGTGTGAACGGCACAAATCCGATATTTTCAAATCCGATCTGGGTCACTTTCGTATGTGGCACTGAATCCGACACATATCTGATGTTTCATAAAGCGACTGCTGTTTGATGGTCATGTCGCATTAAATCCGTCTTTTACGTCACTGACACAAGACAGACGCCATTATCAGCGCCGGAGAAGACATCGAACGCTTCCTGGTCATCCCGTGAAACTGCTGGGAAGACAACGTTGGAGAAACGTGAACATTTTATCTGACAGAAACCTGCAGCTATCCTTTGAAGCAGCGCTGCTCTAAAACAGCAATCAGGATCATTATTAGGTTATCTACATTATTATGTCAATAACAAAATAACTTAAAGCAAAAATTGGGAAACGTGAAGTCTGAAGTCTTTATATTAAGGCCATCAGTCAAACAACACTGTTGCTCTGGGTCTAAACAGAGCGCGTCGTGCGTGACGTCTTCTTTTGCGCACGCGGGCGCTTTGAGCGTTCACACTAGAGCACCTTTGCTGTCGCATTTTATTTGTAGTGTGAACGAGCAGACAAAAAAATCGGATTTGATCAAAAACTCAGAATCGAGCATTACGACCTGCAGAGTGAACATAGCTTCACGTTCACTCTGCAGCCTGGGAATGAACCACCAACCTTCTGGTTAGGTGACCTGCTCTACCACCTGAGCTAAAGCCACCCCACAGGTCACCGTAGGATCTGCCTCCTAGATACTGCATCAGCACTTCATAATAGCAACCAGAACCAATGCTCAGACAGTTACGTGGACATCTGGTGGCAGCATCGAGCACAGAAGCTCTGTGCTTACTGCCAGGAACGAGCTGAAGTCGTCCATGAACATGTGGGAGGATGTGCAGTCGGGCTCACTCAGGACGAATGATCCTTCACAACAGCAACTGTCAGCCTGATTTTCCTCATTAATTATGTAATTAATTCATCTTCTGGCATATTGGATCTGACATGTTCAGTGTATTTGAACGGTCTTGACGTGCTAACCTGTGAGGGAGCCTTCAGCCAGCAGGTCCTGCAGTCTGCTGATGGCATCTTGTGTCCTCATCCCAAAATGAGAAGCCAGATCCTCCAGGAGAACCACCTTAGAGGTCTGCAGCAGAGGAGACAGTTAGAAAGACGCCGACTGATGTCAGCAGGGGAGCAGCGGCGGAGTGGGCGGCCTTACCTCGATGTACTGGATGAATTCTTGCAGCAGGTTGCGTGACTGAGAATACACAAGCAGAGGTTTACTCCAAATAAAACAGGAATGTTTACCATAATGTCTCCGGTCTGACCTGGTCCTCAGAGAGCTGCTCCTCCTCTCCCTGCTCTTCTACGATAAAGGAAGCCTTGAGTCTCAGGTACTCTTCCTCCTCGCGCTTTTCCTGCTCCTCTTTAGCTCGGCGCTCCTGCTCCTCCTGAGTGGAGAGCAGCACAGAGCATCAGCATCTGATCACGTGAGCACCCGAGGAAAGCTGCCGAGGAGACTCGGTGAGACCTGTTTCTGTTCCAGCAGCCGCTCCTTCTCCTCTGCCTGCTGCCTCTCCTGTTCTCTGAGCTCCTGCATCCTCCTCCTTTCCTCCCTTTCTTCCATCTCAGCCTGAAAATAGTAAACTGTAAAGTGACTTTGAAGACACTGCAGTAGAACAGAGTTCATTAAAAACCAGTAGATCGAAACGAGCCCTGAGTGGACAGTGGAGCGTGTCTCACCTCCCTCTGGGCTTTCTTGGCTTGTTTCTCCTCCAACTTCCGCTGCTTCTTGGCTCCGACCTTTGCAGTCGGCTGGAAGCTCTGCTGCTCCGCCTCGTCTTCCTCCACAGGCTCCTCCTCTGAAAGCAGCAGGACACACTCATTCTCATGTATAAACAGCACCTTTACTGTGTGTTTTGCATTTGATCAGCAGAAGTGGAAACAGAAAAAAGGGGGGTGAAATCAAATAATGTGACACGTTATAAATGCTCAGCAAAAACTGTAGGAAAAGCCAAAGTTTAATGTTGAAATTCATCTTTGTGTGATGAACATGCAGGGACATTATGAGGGACATTTGTCCCACAGGAAGCCTGTGCTTCTGCTCGGAGAGGCCCTCATGAAACATACGCTCCGAGAGCTCAACCACGAGCCGAGCAGACTCTTCCAGCACACTAACGTGTTTGTTTCAGGGGCTTTACCGCGTTCCACAGCTTCTCTCTGAGGTCGTCTGTTTGCCATCACACTGGCCAGGTTCCTTCTCCTGCGAGGCATGCCGGCTCCTCGCTCCTCTGCTGCTCGCTGAGGGGGCCCCGCTGCACGCACAACATCCCTGCGCTGGTCCTCGTCGGCTGAGCACACAGCACAAGGAAACTATGAGCCATGCACACACTTTGTCAATTAAGTAAATATTTAAACTGGGGGGGTGACCACATAAAGCTGGGGTTTTGTGTCTGTTTCGGTGAGTTTAAACGCCATCAGAAACAGATTCAGGCCAAAGCTGGTGTAAGTCTGCCGTGTCCTCATGTCCTGGCTTCAGCCACGGGCTGATGACACGTTCAGGCCCACATCAGCTCTGCACAGCTGCACGCTGACAGCACGTCGTTACCACGCGTGACGTTTCCATTCCCACTGCCCGACGAGCTTTAACACCAACATCTGATGAACTCATTATTTACAACCGGCTGTCAGCGCGCTATGAGCCGGATCGACACGTTTAGGGCTTCACCAAAACACGGCACAGATCCGAGCAGTCAGAGCTACAGGTGCTGCTCAGCGTGTGCGAGCTGCTCATCTACCAAACAGCGTCTGAAACGAGCAGCCTGGACTGCGGCATGTCGGCATCCAGGCAGCGGCCCACCGCTGCAGCCGAGCGCAGTGAGGCGGTCCTACCTGCCCGTGTCTGCCTCCGCACCTTCACGGCAAACAGTATGAGAACGACGAGGACAGCGGCAGCTATCACATACAGCGCTACATCCATAGCTGCCCGGGAAATACTCTGAACGGAATCTGTTCCTTTATCCCGTCTATTCAACTGTGACAGCTCAGTACTAACGCTCCTTCTTCTTCTTCGTCCTTCTTCTGCTTCTTCTTCGCGTGTTTTGGTGAACCGATAGAAAAGGGACATAGCGCCACCTGCTGTGTTGGAGTTCTCAGTACAGCTGCTGTGTGATGACCACAGAAAACAATGAAGTCAATTCATTAATTTGGTTTTCTGGAAATCTGTTTGCAGCCTCTGCTGTCGTCCTCTTTATCCGGTATCCACCAACCTGAACACCGGAGATCAGATCTGAACTGTGTTCACACGAAAGGGATGGCACTGGTCGTACTGGTCACTCTGGCATGAACAGCACACCCGAGCCGATCCCACAAGTTAGTGATGGATACATGAAGCGCACTGAAGCTTGTATTGAAAAGAGGTTTTCAACACTGTCCTCTTTGGTAGCGACATATGAAGAGCAGCTTAAATCCACGCGTCCATGCTCCGCTTATCCTCAGGGTTGAGATAAACTGGTCATTATGATTGCCCACCAATGTTCGCTCCAAGCTGCGCGCGTGCGCAATTGCGCACTGCTGGCACGTCTCTGCGCACAGAAAATCTGCGTTGCCCACAAAACAAATCTCACCTGAATTGAAATTAAAATTAAAACTTCAACAATCCTGTTCTGCAGTGTGAGTCAGTGACTGGCTGCTCCCGTATGTGATCAGAACGATGCCACCTTATCCCAAAGTCCAGCCAATGATGCGATTCACATTCGTATATACGCAGCTGATCAACGTCGCTGACAGGCTATGACAGCGTCCTTATGTGCGACACCGGTGTTTTAGCAAAGCGGCTGATGTGGAGTGAAGCCAGGTTAATGTACAACCATTGGAGACGTGAGCAGGACAGACGAACAACTGACGGACAAAGTGTGGACTTTATACCAGTTTTTAAATTAGACTTTAAAAGTTTTAGGAGGGACGGCGAGTTTGAGATGTGACAGATTTGCGACGTTTAGCACAAATCTTGTGTAGTTAGTGTCAGGCAAGTGCAGAGGGGGGCTAGAGGGGCTTGAGCACCCGCCCCTTTCCTGATGGGTGCCCAAAGTGCCCTTTTGTTGAGGCAACTTTTAAAAAAAAAAATTTATTTATTTTTTAATGTGTGCGTGCGGAGTCCTGTCTGTGCCCCTCAACAATAATATTTAACTATTAATCACAGTTTTGCTAAATAAAAGGATCTGGCTTGCATCAGTCACATGATCACATTTAACCAATGATCGCCCTTGACGGCAGAACGCGCTGGTTACGAGCCGGGAACGAGCTCACAAAGAGCACGCGCATTTTTAGCGGTCCGGAGCTGTAGGAGAAACACAAGTTAACTCAGAGACACAGACTGATGCGACAAACCCAGTAAGTAGCTGTACAGCGTACACTGTAGTGTGTAGCACACAGGAGTATCAGCTTATTACGTACACGTTGGTAAGCTGTCTTGTTGCAGCTGACGAACTGAAACAAACGAGCGTGCTGTGTGTGCAACAGCGCGACACACATTACCTGTCCTTTTATTAACTGCACAAGTAGTGCTGGTCATAGCTGCTGCCTACCTGGCTTTCAATTCAATTCACTTTTATTTATATAGCGCCAAATCACAACAAAAGTCGCCTCAAGGCGCTTCATTGGTACAGAGAAAAACCCAACAATCATATGACCCCCTATGAGCAGCACTTTGGCGACAGTGGGAAGGAAAAACTCCCTTTTAACAGGAAGAAACCTCAGACAGAACCAGGCTCAGGGAGGGGCGGGGCCATCTGCTGTGATTGGCAGGGCCGTGCAGAGAGGTTTAAAGGGGCGGGTGCTCAAAGTTAAAAAGGGGCACATTGAACCAGGCTGAATAACAACACACATTCATCAAGAATCTAATATGGAAGGGCAGGGCTGTGTTGATCTGAGACTGTAGACATTAAAAAGTCCACAGGAGAGATGGTAGCTGATTAAACAAGTGTCATGAGATAATAACAAAATGCAAAGATTGGTGACAGCGCTTGGAACCATAAGGCAACGAAAAACTGTGAGAAATAAATTAGGCTCTGCCTGTGAATCACTCTTTGCTTCTCTTCTTCCTTCCTTCCCATCATTTCATATATCACTCTCCACTTGCTGTCTATCTGAGAACAAGGCACAACTTGCTATTGCAATAAACTATAATCTAATTATCCACACCTAACAACTCCAGCACTTAATCTAAAATAAAATGATGACAGAAAAATGTTATAGCCCTGCCTTTAGTAGCCTCACACAGCTCCTACTGTTTCCTCCTCATGTCCTTACCAGCCATGTCTGCACAATGTTATATCATGAGTAATATTTTTTTAAAAATCCATCTAAATAAAACAAACACATGCACGCACACACAGTGACATGTTAGACCTTCAGAATACTGTATATACTATGAGCATCATGGTGCTGATCCAGAATCCTTACATTATTATTTATTACTAGAGCTACAATAATAAAGCAAAGAGGAGGGGGAAGTAATAAATATGAAATAATGTATTTATGATGATTCCATTTGTTTCACTATCCACTCTGTGCAGGGCAAAGCTTATTACATGTTTAAACTGTAGAGATACAATCATTTTACTGCTGTAACATCCAAATTTTGTCTTATTTAAAATATAAATCTAATATAATCTGCTTCTTAATGTATGTTCTTTAAAATACAGCGTGTGTTTTTAATATATTATAATTATAATAATGCATAATTATGTGGACATGCATATTAGATCGTTTTTAGTGAAATATAATCCCTCCAGAAAGGCAGGAAAAGCCCGGAAACGTCCTTTAAAACTAAATATGTTCCCTGAAACGGTGACAGAGCTACAGACCCATGACAACTATATGCTAAAGCATATAGTTAGGGCTGGAGCAGGTGACCCTGAATCCTCCCTTAGTTATGCTGCAATAGACGTAGGCTGCCGAGGGATTCCCATGATGCTCTGGGAGTTTCTACTTCGCTCACTATGTATTAACAGACCTCTCTGCATTGAATCATATCTGTTATTAACCTCTGTCTCTCTTCCACAGCATGTCTTTATCCTGTCTTCCTTCTCTCACCCCAACCAATCACCAGGCACGTGCAGAGGGGGGGGCTAGAGGGGCTTGAGCACCCGCCCCTTTCCTGATGGGTGCCCAAAGTGCCCTTTTGTTGAGGTAACTTTTAAAAAAAAAAAAATTTATTTATTTTTTAATGTGTGCGTGCGGAGTCCTGTCTGTGCCCCTCAACAATAATATTTAACTATTAATCACAGTTTTGCTAAATAAAAGGATCTGGCTTGCATCAGTCACATGATCACATTTAACCAATGATCGCCCTTGACGGCAAAACGCGCTGGTTACGAGGCGGGAACGAGCTCACAAAGAGCACGCGCATTTTTAGCGGTCCGGAGCTGTAGGAGAAACACAAGTTAACTCAGAGACACAGACTGATGCGACACAACCAGTAAAGTAGGTGTACAGCGCACACTGTAGTGTGTAGCACCCAGGAGTATCAGCTTATTACGTACACGTTGGTAAGCTGTCTTGTTGCAGCTGATGAACTGAAACAAACAAGCGTGCTGTGTGTGCAACAGCGCGACACACATTACCTGTCCTTTTATTAACTGCACAAGTAGTGCTGGTCATAGCTGCTGCCTACCTGGCTTTCAATTCAATTCACTTTTATTTATATAGCGCCAAATCACAACAAAAGTCGCCTCAAGGCGCTTCATTGGTACAGAGAAAAACCCAACAATCATATGACCCCCTATGAGCAGCACTTTGGCGACAGTGGGAAGGAAAAACTCCCTTTTAACAGGAAGAAACCTCCGGCAGAACCAGGCTCAGGGAGGGGCGGGGGCATCTGCTGTGATTGGTTGGGGTGAGAGAAGGAAGACAGGATAAAGACATGCTGTGGAAGAGAGACAGAGATTAATAACAGACATGATTCAATGCAGAGAGGTCTGTTAATACATAGTGAGTGAAGTAGAAACTCCCAGAGCATCATGGGAATCCCTCGGCAGCCTACGTCTATTGCAGCATAACTAAGGGAGGATTCAGGGTCACCTGCTCCAGCCCTAACTATATGCTTTAGCATATAGTTGTCATGGGTCTGTAGCTCTGTCACCGTTTCAGGGAACATATTTAGTTTTAAAGGAAGTTTCCGGGCTTTTCCTGCCTTTCTGGAGGGATTATATTTCACTAAAAACGATCTAATATACATGTCCACATAATTATGCATTATTATAATTATAATATATTAAAAACACACGCTGTATTTTAAAGAACATACATTAAGAAGCAGATTATATTAGATTTATATTTTAAATAAGACAAAAGTTGGATTTTACAGCAGTAAAATGATTGTATCTCTACAGTTTAAAGATGTAATAAGCTTTGCCCTGCACAGAGTGGATAGTGAAACAAATGGAATAATCATAAATACATTATTTCATATTTATTACTTCCCCCTCTTCTTTGCTTTATTATTGTAGCTCTAGTAATAAATAATAATGTAAGGATTCTGGATCAGCACCATGATGCCCATAGTATATACAGTATTCTGAAGAAGGTCTAACATGTCACTGTGTGTGCGTGCATGTGTGTGTTTTATTTAGATGGATTTTAAAAAAAAAATATTACTCATGATATAACATTGTCCAGACATGGCTGGTAAGGACATGAGGAGGAAACAGTAGAGCTGTGTGAGGCTACTAAAGGCAGGGCTATAACATTTTTCTGTCATCATTTTATTATAGATTAAGTGCAGGAGTTGTTAGGTGTGGGTAATTAGATTATAGTTTATTTCAATAGCAAGTTGTGCCTTGTTCTCACATAGCAAGTGGAGAGTGATATATGAAATGATGGGATGGAAGGAAGAAGAGAAGCAAAGAGTGATTCACAGGCAGAGCCTAAATTATTTCTCACAGTTTTTGTGTCCTTATGGTTCCAAGCGCTGTCACCAATCTTTGCATTTTGTTATTATCTCATGACACTTGTTTAATCAGCTACCATCTCTCCTGTGGACTTTTTAATGTCTACAGTCTCAGATCAGCACAGCCCTGCCCTCCCATATTAGA